AAAAAAGATATGAAAATTAATAAATCTCTGTCCATGAATTAAAACGCTACAAGATTAAATTTCTAAATAAAACAAAAGAAAACCATAAACGAATGTCTAAAATGTAAATTCTCACGCGCACAAACATGTCAAGTAAACCATAAAATGGTGAACCTCTCTTTAAACTCCGATAAAATTAAATCGAGCTATATTCGCATCCAATGGATCCTAATCAAACAAGATAAAGATAAAAATTTAACTGAACCGAATTGAATGATATCTGATGCATGGAGTGACATTACCATTCATGACACTGTGTTATACCAAATATGTGAGAATGAGAGAGAGTTGTTGAATTAGATAAGAAGAAACCATCCCAACGTATAAATGTTCCAAATGATGATGAAAGATGCCAAAATAAGCATGTACTTTATATTCTTATAGGTTCTTTTAGCCTAATAGCTTGTGCAGTAGACCCACATTTTGAACTTGAGAGTCAAAAGAGGTAGACGTTCGGTGGGTAAAATTATTTAGTGGTCCAAAGTACATGCCTAATTGCCCACACTTAATGATCAGATCCCAGAAAGTTCTTACAACTTCCTTAATCCTTCCTCCCACGCTACTGATTCCATTTTCTCTTTATTTCCATAATACGCTATTAAATACTCCTGCTTTCCCCCTAACGTGGGGCTAAAGGTCGATGTCCCTCGATTCAGGTTTCGCACTTGCAAATTTCTCAACAAAAGCAATCCTTATCCAGTCGACCTTTGTCTGTTTTCAGAGACAAGTGCTCATTTTTTTCACCACCTATGACCTGTAGCTGGATGCAATACATCCAACAAGAGTAAAAGATGACATATTCTACCGTGTTTTCTGAAGAAATGGCCAACGCTAAATATAATGTGACAAATTCTATTGATTCCTCGTTCGTCGGTAATGCATGTTTAATCGGAAGGATTAGGGAAATTTTAAGTTAACATGACAGCTGGGAGCACCAAAATAAAATTGAATACTGGATTTTTATTTATATATATATATTTTTAATAGACATAAAATTGACTACTAAGGCAGGCTGCTGGAGAACTAGAAATTTCACAAAAACGACATCTGATTGATCCAGGTCCTTCCCACCAGAAAATGAAGGAGGTTGACAGGACGTCAGCTAGGCCAATCATTTTCACACATGGATTTGAAGCATCGATACTGTGAAGGAAATGGATCTGAAAATGATGTTTCCTGAACTGTGCTCTGTCTGTTGGATACCATTTTCTCGTACGCAGAACGGTGGGGAAAAGCTTGGTAACCACATGAGACATGTCGTAAAGCTCTGGCGAATGTACGTTTCGTCATTGAGTTAAAAAATATTTACATCTTATAACCAACAATTTCTTTATACGTTTTTAAAATTGTCTTATCAGTATTAACAAATATTAAGTTTTTAGGAGTCTTGTTTGTATTTATATTAGCAATTTTGTTTACTATAATCAATGCTCAACAAAAATATCATTATCGTGATTTTTGTTGGAAGACCCAACATAACTTGAGTTATACAATGGCGATACTTTTTTTTTTTCATTACATTATCATAAATGAAGAAAGATTCAAATTTTATTTCACAAATTGTGTTTTCAATCTATTATTATATTTTTAATTGAATCTATTATATTTGTGATAATGACTGATTATCTAACTACTCATCCAGACAATTTTTTTCTAACCAGAAGCTCATGTATAGATCGAATGATCATTTTTTTTTACCTGAAATACTCTAGGCTAAAATGCAAAAAGAAAAAGCAAATCTTTAATATGTTTAATAATGAAATAATGTGTTTTGATGTGAGTGAAACTATAAATGATAAATTAGTCTCTTTGGTTTTGCAAAACAAATTAAATTAGTTTCTCTAGTTTTAAAAATTAATTAACTAGTTTCTTGATTAATGTTAATTGCACTTAATTTAATATTATTTTGTTTAAAAAATATTTTTTCATATTATTCAATTATCTGTCTTTTTTATTTCTTACAATAAAAAATTTAAAAAAAGAACATGAAATAGACAACAATTAGTAATTGGTTAGTCTTTAAAACTAAAAGGGACTATTTAATTTGTTTTGCAAAACTAAAGGAACTAATTTATAATTTACACATGAGTAAAATCATTCAAACGTTTGTAATCCATTGTTGTGTTGTTTGAACTAAGATTATTATTAAAAACATAACTTTAAGATATTCATTAAAAAATTAAAATAAATTATTTAAAAACATGAAAAATACTTTTATAGTTAAAATCGAAAGTAACCAGCAATATAAGTAAAAATAAAAAACAAGAATCAAAACATCATACAGTATTATTTTTTTAAGCATTGGTATAAAAACTATATATTAAGATAAAATATTTAAGGTTGGTATATTTGTGGTTTAAGAGTATATAATGCTATTTTTATATTTTAAATACAATAAGCAGTCTTTCATCTTAGAAAAAAAACATCACTTACTATCCTTCTCTTAACGTGCAATGTGTTTCATTGTTCATAAAAAATAACATGTGAAATTAACATACAAATTTCCATTTGTTTTTTTTTTTTTAAGGGATGCAATCTATTTTCACGGTTATCCAAAAAAATCAAATACTCCTGATAGGTAAAGCTAATCGATATCAACTAAATTGACTATAAGAAAAGAAGAAGGCTATTAAATTTTCTTTAAATGCTTGGACTTTTGTAACTGGTTCATCCCAAAATCTTTTGGGTTTTGAACTATATGAAGAAAAAAGTTCTTTTTTTAATACACAATAATCAAAATAAATTAAAATTATTTAATCTAAAACCTATTTTATTGAAAAAATTATATCAAATACACAATTGCTAAAATATGATAATTTGGGTCAATACTTGCAATTTCAAAAGTATGATTATGGTAAAAAATGGTTCAAAATTCTTTAGAGTAAACCAGAAGCTCAATTCCATTATATTATTCAATAAAAGACAAACATTTTCTACTTCATGATAAATGTTTCAAGCATGACATTAACAATAGAGTATAAATGGGATAAACTTTCATTGAATTATTTTCTCAAGCATGTTCCTAGTCCACACACTGTAATAAGCAAAATGGTCCATCAGAAAAAAAAAGTGAGGAACAAAGAAAAGCAACCTGTAAAAATGTCACTAATATGTATCACGCTAGTACTTTACTTACAGGACCACCTGACCAGAAACCACCATTGCCATTAAAAATCTCCTTAATTATCATGGTTAACTTAGGATTTACGTTGGTAATTAGCAACCCAAAAGCCGATTTTATTAAACCCCACTTTCATGTGTGTCTTTTTTGCTTTGGCTCTTTTTGTACTGCTATGTCTGTTTCTGTACGTGTGTGCTTTGGATGATGTCTTTTGCTAATAGACTGGTCAAGAGAAAGTGCTGTTGGCGCCCGAAATTCGAGCTTGGGTGGCGTGTGAGAGGAGGAGAACGAAAGAGAGAAAAGAGAAGGTGGGCCCACAATTGTAAGAAATTTTTTGGCAGGGTGAGGTGGCCCTGCCTGCAAATAGCCCCAACAAACCTCGCGCACAGTTTTGTGTTTTCTCAATTATTAAAGCGTAAATTATAAATTAGTCCATCTAGTTTGAGAAATGAATTGACTAGTCCCTTTTTTAAAACTAATTATTTAATTCTTTTTGTCTATTTTATGTTATTTTTTAATTTTTAAAAATATAAATATAATGAAAATAATTATGAGAAAAGAGATAATTTTTAAAATAAAATAAAATTGCATTAAGTATAGTCAGAACTCAACACTCTAAATGAACTAAATATTTTTTTTGAAAAACATATGAATTAATTTATTTATTTCTTAAAACTATAAGGACTACTTTATAATTTACTCCAATTATTATCTTCCCCACCCACACCCCCGTTTCTCAAATTCCACAGCTTCCTTTCCATAGCTCAACTTGGACTCGGCTTGGCTATTAATAATAACTTATAGTTTTGCATTTTGTCTTATATTAGCGTTTTCAAAATTTTCTTTTGCTTTATCCGGAGATTTTTAACCAAAAAACAATTCTATTTTGTTTTACATTAGTATATTTAATTGATACAATCGGTTAGGTTTAGGTGTAAATTCAATTAACATCTAAAATTGTGATTGTCTGTGAATTTAATCATAACTACATAATAATTTGAGATCAATAAAATTGATCTAACGATAAAATTATCTTATTCATTTTAATAAAAAATTTGAATTTGAATAGGTGCATCTTATAATATTTTTATATAATATAACTCTATTTATAAAAATAATTTCAATTTCAATTTTAACATTATAAATTAAGCTTTTCGAAACGTGTTTGAGTGATATAAATATTTCATATGAAATATTTAAAATAATCTATTTATTTTTTATTTTTTTGCAAAAAAAATAAAATTAAATACTTCCCTCCTATTATGATAAATTTAGTTCATTTGGTAAAAGATTATAAGAATCATAAAATAAGTGTTACGTTCAAATTCCACTAGCATCAATAGCGAGACCACGAGAATGATTCAAGAAAAAAGAAAAAAAGAAAAACTACTTTGCCACTATATTAAATTTCATTATTCGAAGTTACAAAAGCTGCACTCATAGATGTCTGATATCGGCTTGATGAGCGTAAAAAAATAAGGGCTCCAAAGCCAGCTCGTGACCTTACTCCTAACTCTATTCAAAACGACCTTTTTCTCACCCTTGTTTCTTGTCCTTTTTTCAAGCTCCTTAATTGAAAGTTCAAATCAAAATCGCGGCTCAACTCTCTATACACTGTTTTCTCTCTGCAAATTTTCGCACTCCTAGCGCCATTCTCACTCTCCCTGTGACGGGAGGCTTTTCTCTTCCCTTGCAATCCACTCTTTGTCAAACCCCTGCTCTGCTCTAACCGAGAATCAAAACTTTCTTTCACCTATCTAGATACACATAACCGTAAACCTCAACTGCATCACAAAATTTCCAAGCTTTGCAAGGAAATTCCATCTGGGTCTCATTCAAAATGGAAGCTTCATCACCTATTTCACTTCAACAAACACCTCACCAAGAGTATCCAGTACCTGAAGCCTCACTGAAACCATACAAGAAAAGCTTTGTCACTTCTTTGATGGAAGCAGCTACTTTACGCACTCCTTCTTTTAAAGAAGACACCTACTTCATTTCCCATCTCAAAAATTCAGAGAAAAAGGCACTTCAAGAACTAAGAGACAAACTTTCAGTTTCTTATGGGTCTGGCAGTACTAGTGAATGTTCCATGTGGGGTATTCCTCTTTTAAGCAATGATGAAAAAGCTAATGTGATCTTGTTGAAGTTTTTGAGAGCTAGAGATTTTAGAGTTCAAGATTCACTTCACATGTTGGAAAAGTGTTTGTCTTGGCGAAAAGAATTTGGGGCTGATAATATTGTTGAAGAGGATTTGGGGTTTAAAGAACTTGAAGGTGTTGTTGCTTACATGCATGGTTATGATAGAGAAGGGCATCCTGTTTGCTACAATGCTTACGGGGTTTTTCGAGATAAAGAAATGTACGAGAGGATATTTGGTGATGAAGAAAAGTTGAAGAGGTTTTTAAGGTGGAGGGTTCAAATTCTTGAAAAGGGGATCAATCTTTTGCATTTTAAGCCTGGTGGAGTTAACTCTATTATCCAAGTTACTGATCTTAAAGACATGCCTAAAAGAGAGCTTAGAGTTGCTTCTAATCAGATCCTGTCCTTGTTTCAAGATAATTACCCTGAAATGGTTGCTCGTAAGGTAAAAAGTAACACGCATTTCTTGATATTTTACAAATTTTCCGTGTTTAACTTGATGTGTTAGAAATTTAATTTTAACTTGTTTTACTCTCTCTCTCTCTCTCTCTCTCTCTCTCTTTTGGGTTCTGGTTGGGGCTAGATTTTTATCAATGTGCCATGGTACTTTAGCATGCTGTACTCCATGTTCAGTCCATTCTTGACTCAGCGAACTAAGAGCAAGTTCGTGATCTCTAAGGAAGGAAATGTTGCAGAAACACTTTACAAGTGAGTCTTCATATGTTTTGATAATTTCCCATTTACTTTACCATTTTTTGTTTATTTGTTTTTTTCAAGTTTTGTTTGGGGCCCTCCATAATTGTCCATTTATGAGATTTCGAATCTCTGCTTCTTGCTTGTCCTGGCCTGTCTTTTTTGACTATTCAGTTTTTGTTTTGTTTTTTTCTCTCTGTTTGAATTCTACTAATTTGAGATTGTAACCTAACCTGGGTCATGTTTTTTGTTACCAGATTCATTAGGCCTGAGGATGTTCCACTTCAGTACGGTGGACTGAGTAGGCAGAGTGATTTGCAGAATGGCACTCCTAAGCCAGCCTCCGAGTTTACCGTCAAAGGAGGAGAGAAAGTGAACATTCAGATTGAAGGAATTGAGGTTCTTCTTTTTTTTTTTTTTGAATTTTTGTTGAATGATTTCAAATTGGTTGAATTATAATGTTGGGTTTTGTATGTTTTTTTTTTCAAATTAATTAAAATCATTTTAATGACTACTATTATTGTGTTTTCTTGCCCGATCAAATAGGCTGGTGCAACCATAATATGGGACATAGTAGTTGGTGGCTGGGACTTGGAGTACTGTGCTGAATTCGTGCCTAATGCAGTAGGAAGCTACACTATTGCTGTGGAGAAGGCAAGGAAAATTGCACCATCAGAAGAAGCAATTCACAATTCATATACATCAAGAGAAGCTGGTAAAATGGTGCTCTCAGTGGACAACACTGCATCAAGGAGGAAAAAGGTTGCTGCTTATCGATACTTTGTTCGCAAATCCACTGTTGTCTAAGCTTCGTTAACTTAAATGTCTAAGAGTAATTTGTTCTTTCTTTTTTGTTATTTTGGAGAGGTTTAATTAATGGGTGTGGACTGTTGTAGCCTACTTGATAGTGCACTAATATTTCATGTAAAAAAATGATGGTATTTTGTAGCTTTATATAATGTGAAAAATCAAAGCAATTAATTACCTTGGCTGGTAGTCTGGTACTGGTCCAGAGTTCTGTGTGCCTTTGAGACTGCGTTGGGGCAAAAATTCTTTTGGCCAGTTGCTTACGTTATTGAGTGTGTCAAGTGTCAAATTGGTTTAGGGTTTTAGGGTTTTAGACGGACAGCTTTTGCTTTGTGGGGGACTTGGAGTGCTGAAAAAGGAAAATACAGGTTGTTGGTGGTGCTAACCTAGAGGGGGAGACCGAAGGGTTGCTTTATGTCTACTTTGATAAGGATTTCATATTGTTGCCATTTAGTTTTATTTATATTTAGAAAATTGAAAGGATTGGTTAAAATGGTCGCAATTTGCTTTATTTATCTTTTTGGCTTATGTTGGTGGTGTATGCTTTTCAAGAAGCAGCTGGAATTGGAGACTTTGGAGAGTTTTCTTTTAGGGTTGCGTAAGATTAAGGCTCCATTTGGTATAATTAGGGCTTTTAGATGTGATTTTGCGGCTGTTAGTTGTGATTAGGCTGTAAAAACTAGTAAGTGTTTGATAATGTGTTAAAAAAAAATCTTTCTATTGCTTTGCCTTTGACTTTCAATTGCTTCGATTTCGGAATTTACAAGCATCTCTTCTGGAAAAGTTCTAAGAAAACCAACTTCAGGGGGAATCCAATTCTGAAAAACAAAATGGGCAATCTTGTGAAGAGAATTGCAAGCATTGAAGGAGCTAGGTCACGGGCTTCGAAGGATGTAGTGGAGGTTGATAAAGTGAGAGCGTGGCGTTCAATGTTTGTGTGTTGCCGTCATGATGACATTAATCTTGTGTCGATTGGTCCTTTCAAATAAGACGTGATCCCGTCTGTCACCGTGATTTATTTTAAGTTTTTTCAATGCCTTTTCGGTGCTATATGGTATGTTGTTGTCACTTGTCAGCCCTCAACCAAAACAAATACTAGAACATTGCCTAGTTGGGAATTGAAATCAAGCAATGGCCATTCATTCCCCGTTTCGGCAGGAAAATTCTTTCAAGGTTTTCTATTCAAATTGATTTGGGCTGGATAGTCGCATAACTTAAAAGACAAATGATCAAGCCCGTGTCTGATTCAAGATCCAATATTCAACTTAGGTCTGAATGTCTAAGTCCAATGAACACAGTATTATCCACCTCGAAACCCAACAAGACGGCAAGGGTCTGAAACGGTAGAATTAACAGATGTGGGTGAATAATTCATGGAGTATCAAGTCCTGAATATAACTAGATCAAGAGATAATAATCTTAATAAGAAACAGGTCATCAAGATTCAAGCGACAAAGAACTAACAAAAAATTGGTGTCACTAAAGACACCATCTTTACATACGCATTAAAAAAAAAAAAAAAACCCGTAAAATATAGACCTATTATTGTTTTGAAATTCCCACCCGCAATAGAATTGACTTGGTTGCATGATTGTGTTATTTGACTGTAAACTTCCCACCATCATTTCTAAATCAAGAAATTTGAATCAAAATTCAAAAGGATCCTTGATATCATAAGACTCTAAGCTGTATAGTTCCAAAAGTCCGCAGTTTAGCATGTGATATAAGTGCTATTAAAGGTAACCTTAAGGGACCGGTAAGGAGGCTTGTTATTTTTTGATTTTTTGAATTTGAACATAGGTTAGCATTGAGGATAATATTTTTCAAAATGCACCAAGTTAACGTTAGATGCTTTTTCTTAAAATTGTCTGGAAACAGGATTTAATCACAAAATAATATACAAATTGACCCCGAGAATACTCTTTAATGCCAGGAAAAAAAAATGTCATCAAAGGTTGGAGATTGATGACCCATGACGGATTGCTTCCCGGGTGGTGCGAAATAATTGAAAGGCCGAAAGGAAACGCACATACGTGTTCGGATAACATTATGCGTGTAATATGGGCTGGGCTTATTTCGTATGTTGGATTATTGGTTGAGATCCTTTGTGAAGTAATGTCTATTTCTTGCGTATTACAGAAAAAAAAAAAAAGGAATTGAAAAATAAATCTTAAAATTCTCAACCTGATAATACCTTAACCATCTTGTACATTTAATCATCTATAATCGTTGACCGGTTTATTTATTTATTTATTATTATTATTATTATTAAAAAAAATGAAATCATGCTTTTGTGGTCCAGGCTTATTTCTACGTTTAGGAAATAAAAATTGGCTTCAGAAGAAAAATCCATCCCTCAAACTAAAGTTTAAGCTCTATCATGTCCTTCAAAGGATCCGCCTTTGGTTAATTGAAATTTTGCAAATATTGGTGTAACTCATAAACTTCCCAATAATAAATTTAAATAATTATCGTTACGTTATATAACAGTAGTTAGATAACGATTTTGAAGTATTTCGTTATCGTTATTTTAATACTGTAATAAGTCGTGATCCACAATAGTAATCGTTTTTTCAACCGTCTGCGATTTAAAACTATATTTCTACTAAAATCCTTTAAAAAATAATTAAATGGTAGTGTATTTGGATATTGAGACCAAATTTTCTCAAGGTCCATGTTATTTAAATTATCATTTCATCATAACTAAGCGTATTTATTTAGCAGAATCATACGCATATGATGGGATTCATATCTAAAAAATCATCCAATAGAGTCATTTTTCTCACACAAATATGACCACCTTGTCATGCAAAGGTTAGCCGTTATGCACTACACACAAAAATAAATAAATAAATAAATAAAATACGGAATTTTATTTAGTTAAATCGGTTTCTTAATTTTGTAATAGCTTAAAAAAAAAACTAAATTAACCATCAATTTATACTAATCAACATGGCTTCATTTGACCTTTCCCATCAAAATCGAACTTCTTTATTTCATGTTTAGATAATGACAACATAGAAGACTTTCGAAACTATGCTGTGATTGATAAAAAAATCTTACAGGTTTACACCTGACAAGCTCAATCTTGTTTAATCGATGGCCACAGGCTTTGTCAGGTAGAAAGCATTGTAACTGTTACATAAGGAGCTATGAAAGTGATCAAAATCAAGCACTGGTAGTAATAATATAGGTGGTTAATTACTGGTCAGTGTTCTGCTAGTAGAGCCTTAAACCCGGTTTGGAATAAACCTTCATGACATCCGAAACAAATTTTGCTTTAACCCTTTCCGGCCGCAACAAGCTTTAAGTGTGTATAGAGAATGTGGTATACCAGGATATCTTAAACCCTTGATTGAGATCTGGGAGTCTAGAATTTTTACTAGCTGTAGCTTGATTCTGAATTTTGTTCTTCCTCCAAGAAACCAGGGCATTCTATTCAATCTTCACATGGATATTTGAAGGGATTTTGACATTTACAGGTGGTAACTTTTCAGAACCTGAAGCAATGGCGGCCCTTCACAGGATACTTTCTTCATATTCTATGTTATTACTTTATTTTTCCCAGATGATAACGGACATTTGTCCAAGCTCAATGGGCTAAGAACCTTGATTTTTTGTAGACCGAACCGATTTCTTAAACAGAAATGGTTGTATAGCGCCTTCCAAATTTTCAATGGACAGCATTAAGCAAAGAGGAAACATGTGCCCTTGGTTAAGTTATCCTTGACTTATAGACAGGCTTTAGTTATATGGTCGATTGTTACTTGTGTTACGACTCAAAGACAGCTAAAGAGGACCAAAAGAGAGATACCGGAAGAAATTACTAATTACTAATAAAACTAAGAGACCTGGGGCAAAACTAAAAGATCTGAGGTAAATGAATAGTAAATACTGTTCATTACTGTTTATTTTCCTTAAATCATTGTTCACAATATGGCAGTTTTGTAATTTTTTGCAATTTTTTTCTCCTTCCAAGTTGCCTCAACTTTTCGTTCAAGGAAATTGACTATCGCATCATCTATACATTCTTTTCGGTGTTCCCACTGCCGAAAAACATTTACAAAGCCAAACAGCTTTTCCTTCCTCCTTTTTTTGGCAATGTCACGATGGACACTAACTGGAATAGGGAAGGAAATAGAGAAGAAATGCAGAGAGATCATAGTAGATCATCAACGACGCACTTACTTTTTATTTGAATTATAAATTATTTTTGGGTAAATATACTTATTTATTTTTATATGATACTCAAAGTTTTTTTTTTTTTTTTTTTTTAAGTTTTTTTACAGTTGCATTTTATATTTCTTTAAATTTTTTGAAATATTCAACCTATTTTTCGATCAATTTTTTCTATTATAAATAATTTTTTTTTATCAAAATGCTTTTTATTAAAATGTAGAAAAAAAAACTTAAAAGCAAATAACTTGTATGTTTTATTTTTAAAGTATTTAATTAATTAATTTATTTTTTACATTTTTTATTTTTAAAGTATTTAATTAATTTATTTATTTTTTACATTTTAATTAAAAAATTCCTTCTAAGTGAAAACAATGATTAGAAAAATAAATTAAATATTTGAATTTTTTTAAATGATTGATGGATATACTTACTACGTCTTATTTATTATGTGAACGATTATCCAATTGGAATTGTTTTTTAAAAAACCTTTCACTTGAAATAAGAATTTATAACTGAAAAATTTAAAATGTTTTTCAATAATTTTGATAGCATAGTATCTCAAATCCATTAAAAAAAATCTAAAAGAATAAATTGAAAAAACACTTCGAAGTAATTTGATAGGTGTAGTTGTGCAGTTGTGGTTGGTGATACAGTAACGAAAAAGAATTGGATTTTGGTAATAATTTTCTGGACAATCACATTTCAAGTGAAATTAACGAAAAAAACATGCAGAATGAATAGGTTGTTCTTATTCTGATGCCTTTTTTTTTAATGTAATCAACGAACTTTCTCTTTCTTTTCTCGATATATAAAACGTAAGG